AAAAGAAAAGAAAAAAAATGGATATATACTAAGATGATAAATATAACTCCACCAAAACTTGTATACATATGAAAAACTGAGCTATAGATTGCTAGCTTACTTGCTTCTCTCTGTTCTGAATTTTTAAAAAAATATCCATCCACATACTCCTTCTCTTGAAGAAGCTGGAATTAAATCAACCTGCTCACCATTTTCTCTTCTGGGGGTGCTGTTTTCAAATGGCTGCCATGTTTTGAGTGCTGAGCCTGCAGCCCCACCTGGGAGGCTATATGCACTGTTCCTAGTGTGGAAACAGAAGAGAACAAGTACTTTAAAATCCCCAAATATGAATTATTCAGAAATATAGACTCAGCCACTCATAACCCATATCTAGATTATCTGTGATAAATGCACCAGCCCAGGCTGGCTGCCTCTCTACCCACCTAGCAACCTCTCAGGCTTCTCTGGGAATCATCATTTATTCAGTCTGTCCATTCCTTCAGGGAAGCTCAGCTGTTACACCCCTGAAGAACTTGTTGCTTTCATTAATAAAAATTCAACCTAGAATCTGCACATAGTGCTTCTGAAGGAAGGTCCACTCTGTGGAACAAGTGTGGGAGCCACTATTGTGGTCCATCACATGAAATCATGGAATAAGAAGGGTCTCTGTTGAAGACAAATTTTTGTTAACAATTTTTTTTCATGGACCGATTTTTTTATATTGCCCCTTTATCATTGTCACCAACTCTTAATAAATACTTTTTAAAAAGGGGAAGTGAATAAAATGGATTCTGTAAATTCCTGAGATAGTATTCTCGTGTCTTTAAGTCTCCACATAGAGAAGAGGCACATTAGCTATCTCTTTGTTTCTTTTAGCTTTAAAATTCATCCCAATGATTAGCAAATTAAAATTGAGCAGTGTGCTGCCTGACCCAGTCTAACAGAAGAGCCATTTAGGGGAACACAGCATGGAGTGGCCAGTGGCCTGCACCCCTCTCCCAGCACCCACTAGCCCTCAATTTCCCTATCTGTAAGGTGAGTGTGACAATAGCCTCTGTCTCAGGAGATTGATGTGATAATTAATCTATTCCTTGGCAGACTTAGAACAATGCCTTCCATAATGAACACTCCATAAATATCAAACACATACTCACAACCTTATTAATCAAGAGAGTCAGTTTCCAGAAGCTGCTTTTTCAGATCAGCTGTTCTCCTTTCCAAAGGTTGCATTCAACAGAAGCTTCTTGGGCAGGTCAGATAGCTCATTGGATTAAAGTGCCCCTGCTTAGGCAGGTGCAGGGACTGGGGTTTGATCCCCGGCATGCCTTGCCGGCCCCGTTCCTTGGGCGCCCTGAGAGATCGACTGAGACTGGTAGTGGTGGTGTGTGCCTGTAATCCCAGTACTTGGGAGGCTTAAAACAGGAGGATCACTACGAGTCCAATCTGTGTAGTGAGACCCTGTACTAAATTCATAAAAAAAAAAAAGAAGCGTCTTGATTTTTACCTTGCATTTAAAGATCCCAAACCACCGTCAACTCCGATTTCATGCATCTGTCCCTCCCACACCACCTGTGAGGTGGGGTAGGATGCAGCCTCTCCCTGACTTCCAGAGGGACACGTTTCTTGGAAGCAGTTTAAAATGCCAGGAGTAGAAGTGGGTGTGGCCTCCTGCATGCATGCCATGTGCCTCATGGGCTTTGGGGCAGGTGTTCTTGGCATGATGACTGTGTTCTCCTCATCTCTGTCTCCAACAGCTGTGTGGGAAGGAATTCAACCGGATGCACAACCTGATGGGTCACATGCACCTGCACTCAGACAGCAAACCCTTCAAGTGCCTCTACTGCCCGAGCAAGTTCACCTTGAAGGGGAACCTGACACGCCACATGAAGGTCAAGCATGGTGTGATGGAGCGAGGCCTTCACACTCAAGGTAGCACATCCTGGAAAGCCCTGCTGTCAGGCTCGGGGCAGCCCTTGGGGGTGAAATTTTATTTACTAGGATGATAGTTTGGGTGATCACTCTCAACAAAAACAGGAATGAGACTTTCACAACCATGGTGGAGTAGTAGCAGCAGACTTCAGATGTTACTCTAGGAAAAGGTAATGCTAATATCTGAAGGCTGTATGTTAGGGTTACAGAGAGTAAGAGGAACATGGTGTGATGGCACTGTTTCAGTTACTCTTCTCTCTTCGCTGGGACAGGTATCTGACACCCAAAGTGAAGGAAGGAAAGGTTTATTTAGCTTACAGTTAGTGAAGGTTTTTATCCATACTCAGCTGGCTCCAAGGCAGAGTGGCACATGGCAGCACACAGCAGCTGTTCATGGCGGCAGCAGAGAGCGAAGAGCAAAAGGAGAAGCAGCAGCTTAGGCAGCTAGCTAGCCTCTCTCCCCTCCTCACACTGTAATGCAGAGTGTCTCACTCACACCCACAATCCCAGCATTGGATCATGAACCAATCACAAACTCCAGAAGCTGCCCCATGACTGTGTAAGGCTTCAGGGAGACAACTAGACACAAACCATAATAGCCAGCATTGGACTCTTTGTTCTAGACTCTGCCTTCACACCTTACATCATTACAGCCACTGCCAGGCAAAGGAATGCCTCGTTTTATAGATGAGGAAACTAAGGCTCTAAGAGATCTGTTTGCCCCAAAGGGCTCAGATAGCAGAGTCAGGATTTGAAGGCACACCATTTTTGACCCAACAGTCTTCATCACAGCCACTTTAGCACATTATTCTCAAAGCACATGCAGGGCCGGGAAGATGGCTCAGTGGAATAAGTGCCTCCCTGGCAAGCACTAGGGCCTAAGTTCAATCCCTAGTTCCCACCCCCCGCAGAAAAAAGCACATGCAGTTTTTGTTTCCTTTTTAAAAACAGATCTACATACTGCACTGTCAGCGGAGATGGCTTCATGGCAACCTAGGTCCCCTTTCCCTGTTGACACAAGCACAACTTTCCTGCCGCTCAGCCTCTACACAGAGCAAGGCTTTAGTCTCCCTACACTGGCACTGTTGAACTTGAAATGTTCTTGCCTCCTTCATCTTCACAGCCCAGGACCCTTAGCAGTGCACAGTTTGTGTTCTGGACCTATTGATTAGCGGACTTCCCCCTAACCAACCAGTCCTTCATTAGGACACACATCTGGCCAGTGCATCAAGATGCTTATGGTGACAGGTTGGAGAGAACGAGGCTGTCCTTGCCCTTCAGGAGCTCTGTGCGTGGGGACATAAGACAGGCATGGCTGGAATTCACAGCATCATCTTAGATGCTTTGTGACTACCATCATTATTGGCCAAGGCATGGAGCCAAACACTGGGGGAGCATTACTGGTAGCCTCCACAGAACCATGAAAGAGACCGTTATTTGCATGTCATGTATGAGGAAACCAACTGAGGTGTAATAGAGGCTACTTGAGGTCAGACAGCCGGTCTGAAGGCAGAACTGAGGTTCCAGCTCAAAGATTTCTGGATCAAGCCAGTGCTTACTACCCTAGACAAAAGCAGGGGTGATTTGCTTGGATCTGCTGCTTACAAAGGTAGTGAAATCAGTGCACGGATTCGTAAATGTGACAGGTACCTGCACACACACAGCAGGAAACAAAAGAATCATAGCTTTCAGGTTTTTCACAGTACCTGCTGCATTTATATAGTGATTCCTGGCTGAGAGGGAACTGGAATCACCACAGACAGGGGCTAGAGTTCATGAACAAGCCTTGAAAAATCCCTGTTAAAAAGTAAAAGCAAGTTTTCTTTTCACTGAAAAATGTGTTCCTCGTGAATTATTCACTGAATCTCTAGTTGCCTGAACCACTTCCTGAGCTACGCCTGGATTTTTCCACAGGAGGTGAAGTTCGTTCCACCTCTGGGGCAGCAGACAGAGAGAGACAGCTCCGTGGCCTGAGGATGTCAAAAAGGAAGCAGTTGGTCCTTAAGGGTCCCTGCCCTTGCTCCGGGCACTCCCACGCACAGCTCTGTGTCTTTATGCCCTCTTTATGCCTGCTTTTCCTCTTTAAAATCTTGGCTTCTGTCCTTGGAGCCTGCCTGTCCACTCATCACAGGCAGAGACCTTAACAATAGGATAAAATAAAGTCACCTCATGTCTCTTGGCCGCTGCAAAACCCATTGGTACAGGCCCCCAAAATGAACCTGAAAGTGAGACCCTCTGAGATCCCTGTGCCCTGCACTGAGGTCCTGTTGTCAGACATGGGGCTTTGGAAGCTGCTTGAAGCCCTGTTCCCTCTCTATTCTGTGGAAAGGGGCCACAATCCAGAAGTACCTTCTCAGGTCCTGGTGGAATCCTTTTTTCAAAGATAAAACTGTCTATTACTGCTGGAGGTTTTTCTTACAATGAAAATCTATGCTTACTACAAAAAATAAGAAATACTTGAGAGATGAAGAGAACATGTAATAACCACCTCTGACTGTCCATTTTGAGACTTGGGCATCCATCCTTGGTACTGGCCAACTTTCCTGTCACTGGGCATAATACCTACCAGTTGAAATTTAGAGGAGGAGAGGGTGCATTGTCTGGGCTCACATTTTTGGAGAATTCAGTCTGTAGTCGCCTATCCTCAAGGTAGGAACACATGGAGGGAGGACATGACAGAAAGAAACTGCCTAGTTCATCAAAGCCAGGGAGTAGAGCCGAGAAAGAGTCAGAGAGGAGGCACCAGGGACCAGCCCCAGCCCCTGGTCCCCCCTCCATGACCCCTGCACACACACCCAGGAGTGGGCTCTGCAGAGCCCTGGGCAACTCCCACACATGCCAATCAAACTACCCAGTTAAGCTTCATCACCACATCCTTCCAGAGATTTTTTCAGAAAGATAAAATTGATCTGATATATGCTTCTATGTAATATGTAAACATATGTGCACATCACATGTACAGAGAGTGCACCCTAGCATGGTCAGGAGAGCACATCTTATGATGATCGGTCCGTCGCCATCACCTGTACGTCTACACCTACTTCCCTGTGCAGAGGTGCTGTGGCGTCATTAACCAACCCTTAAGTACCAAAGTGTTTTCACAGCTTCTGTACAGTAAAAAAAATGTGGTGATAAGCATTCTTAGACTCACATTCTATGCTCCTGCCTGGTTTTCATCATTTAAATTCTCAGTTGTGTCACTGCTAAGGCAGTGCTTCTTTTTAAAGCTTTTGGTGCATGTTGCCAAATTCACCTTAAAAGGAGTATACAGATTTAGACACCGACAGGCCACCAGTGTCCACCCACCTACTGGGAATTAGCTGGTTGTGGGTGTTTGATCAGGACATGGGAAAGGCCCTTGGGGCCCCCTACCCACCTCCCTGCCCACCCACTGCTCCCTCCACTGCTTTCTGGGGTCCCTCAATTCTCGCTCTGCTCTCACAGGTTTAGGAAGGGGCAGGATGGCCCTGGCGCAGACCACAGGGGTCCTGAGGAACCGGGAGCAGGAGGAGCCTTTTGACCTCTCGCAAAAGCGCGGGGCCAAGGGGCCAGTGTTCCAGTCAGATGGGGAGAGCGCCCGGGACAGCCCCTGCCATGAGGAGGAGGAAGAAGAGGAGGAAGAGGATGAGGAAGAGGAGGAGGTGAGCTGCTGCCCAGCAGAGCCCTACAGCTCCAGCCTGGCCCCCCGGAGCCAGCAGCTCTGTGCGCCCCAGGATCTGTCCACCAAGCCCGAGCAGACCCTCCAGGGGCAAGAGGAAGCCAGCAAGGAAGAGGAAGAGGTGGAAAAAGAGGAGGATGCTACCAAAGAAGGGCAGGAGGAGAAGAGCCAGGACGCCCATGGGGAAGGCTTCAGGCAGGGACCTGAGAAGGAGACAGAGGAGGGGGCTGGCGGGGAGGAGCGCCTCAGCCTCAGAGTTCTTCAGAGTGCCAGGCGGGGCCCCTCCTTTTCTAATTACTTATACTTCAAGCACAGAGATGAGAGTTTAAAAGAATTACTGGAGAGGAAAATGGAAAAACAAGCAGTGCTTTTGGGTATCTAAGTGGACAGTTTTAAAATCACATTTGGAGGATGAGAGCTAGACAGTGCAAACAGCTTTCCGCATGAACTGTCTGTCCACTGGGGACTGACAAGGGCGCCAAGCTTCGCAGTGACTCAAGCTAAAGGAGCAGGGTCCTCGGTAATTAGATGCTTCTGGGCCATTCCTTGGGCCTTCAGACTTAGAACACACACACACAGGGGCTTCAGTATCACTTTGTCCACCTCCCGTGTAATAATCTGTGCATATTCTTCTAGATGTCTAATCCTGGCTGACCCTGAGGTGCTTTTAGAAATTCTATTTTCCTTCCATAATATGCAGTGCATGGCAAATTTCTTTCTAGTTGTAAAATGATGGTGCTTGACATGTTACCTTATTAATAACTATTTAGCTCAACTCATGAAAGTTATATTTTTCCAGTTAAATGAAAATATTACTAGTTGTATACCTAAAAATAGCTTTTATTGCCATAAGCAAAAAGTGCTGGGAATGACACAGAAGGGCGAACTATTGGAAGGGATATTCCAAGTAGATGCTGCAGAGGTAAGCTTAACATCTAAGAAGATGATGAATAGTTTTCAGTAAGAGGAAATCCCAACAATTAGACACCTACATGGGTCTCTTTCTCTAGCATCAGCTTCCTTCACCAGTGAGGTGTTGGGAGCTGCAGATGACTGGGCAGTGCTCTGAGGCCCTGGCTCCTCAGACTGATGTCTGGTGTCCTAAGCAGAATGCCTTCCTGGACACCACTGCTGCCCTCCTCTGAGACCTCATGCCCAAGGGAGCTGTTGCTTGTGAAGCTGGAGCTCAGGGTGGGGGAAGAAATTCTCCCTGAAACAAGCTCTGCCTTCTTTGGGGTAGTATTAGGATAGTCACTAGCCCCTCACTGTGCTGGACACTTAGGCTTTGTTCTCAAG